GGCATGTTTGCTTATGCCTGTAATCCTAGCACTTTGGGATGCCAAGGCAGGTGGATCATCAGAGGTCAGGAGTTTAAGACCAGCCTGCCCAACATGTGTCTCTGCAAAAATACAAAAATTATCTGGGTGTGGTGGCACATGCCTGTAGTCCCAGCTACTTGGGAGGCTGGGGCAGGAGAATTGCTTGAACCCGGGAGGCAGAGGTTACAGTAAGCTGAGATGGTGCCACTGCACTCCAGCCTGGGCGAGAGAGTGAAATCTCCATGTTGGGAAAAAAAGAAAGAAAGAACTCATTTACTTAGAATGAAGCTAAATTTTTTTTTTTAATTAAAAAAATTTTTTTATATGTTTAAACATATATCATCTTTCTTTGACTGAAAGCAGGAAATGCAGGGTTTGCAAGAGGGAGCAGCTCCCCCAGCCCCTGTATTTGATTTGCCCTGTGGACAGGCAGCCTGGAGACCTTTTGGGAACTAGCTGTGGCCCAGATGGGTACTACTAGGCTGCTGATGCCCTTTCGTGAAGCTCTGTAGTTCTTATCCTAGGCTACCTAAAACTATTTCACAGCCAACTAAGAGAAAGCAAACGCTAAGACTTCGTCCTGTGAATGAATAATGAGGGCCATCTAGTGTCATAAAAGGTGACAGGTTTTTTTTTTTTTGAGACAGGGTCTCACTTCTATAGTCCAGGCTGGAATGCAGTGGCACAATCAGGACTCATGGTAGCTTTGACCTCCTCAGCTCAAGCGATCCTCCTGCCTCGCCCCCACCACCCGCAAAGGTGGCTGGGACTATAGGCGTGCATCACCACTCCCAGCTAATTTTTGTATTTTTTGTAGAGATGGGGCCTCACCCCATTGCCTAGGCTGGTCTGAAACTCCTGGACTCAAGGGATCAGCCTGCCTCGGCCTCCCAAGTGCTGTGATTAACTGTGCCCAACCTAATTACAGGCTTTCTAGTCTACTTCAGGCCTCTGTTTACGGCATAGAGAGAAAAGCCTCCAAGGTTTAATATTCTAGTGCAGTTTGCAATTCCAACCGAAAAAAAACTATTGCAAATACAAAAATACAGGAGACCGAGCCAAATCTGCTGATCCTACCACACACACTAAAAATGTGTTCCTGGAATAAATCCCTAAGTGTCATCTACCTTAAAGACAAGGTAAAACATATAGTCTGGCCAGGGTTTCTAAAAGTTCCCACTTCAGGAAAAATATGTTTGCAAAATTGAAACTTACAGAATAATATCTATAACATTTCAAGTATAAACACCTTAAAAGAGAGCATTTTCTTAAATCTAACTTCTATTTCATGCCACCATAACCTAATGAGCTAGTCTGGCTGCTTAAAAAGGTATAAACCAGATACTTCCTAAAGCGGTAATTTAAGGATTTAAAAGTCAGAGGACGGGATCATCATTTTATGTCACTCTTCAAACTCTCATAAATTGGAACTCTCAGGCCAGGCGTGGTGGCTCATGCCTATAATCCCAATACTTTGGGAGGCCTAGGTGAGCAGATCACTTGAGGTCAGCGGTTTGAGACCAGCCTGGCCAACATGGTGAAACTCCGTCTCTAACAAAATTACAAAAATTAACTGGGCAAGGTGGCAGGCACCGATAATTTCAGCTACTCCAGAGGCTGAGGTACAAGAATCACTGGGACCTGGGATGCGGGAGGTTGCAGTGAGCCAAGATTGTACCACTGTACTTCAGCCTGGGCAACACAATGAGACTCTCTCAAAAAAACAAAAGTTGGAACTGTGGTAACACTTGGGGGATAGTAGTGATTGCAAGGGGACATAACAGAGGCTTCTGAGAGTGGGTGTTAATGTTCTACTTCCAGATCTGGGTCTGGTTACATGGGTATGTTCACTGTGAAAACTGTTCAAGCCACACAATTATATGTGCTTCTCTAAATGTATATACCAATAAAGTTTCTAAATATGCTACCCTTTCCTACTGGAATCCTTACATAGCTATAATTTTAAACAACTGTACATTCTTTTTTTTTTTGAGACAGAGTTTCACTCTTGTTACCCAGGCTGGAGTGCAATGGCGCGATCTCGGCTCACTGCAGCCTCCGCCTCCTGGGTTCAGGCAATTCTCCTGCCTCAACCTCCTGAGTAGCTGGGATTATAGGCACGCACCACCATGCCCAGCTAATTTTTTGTATTTTTAGTAGAGACGGGGTTTCACCATGTTGACAAGGATGTTCTTGATCTCCTGACCTCGTGATCCACCCGCCTCGGCCTCCCAAAGTGCTGGGATTACAGGCTTGAGCCACCGTGCCCGGCTGCACAGCTGTACACTCTTAAACAAAAGTTTGTTATTTGTGCGTCTTGTCACATAGGCTCTATAAGGGCCAAGATGGTGCCCTGCCTTGGCACTTGACACTGGTATTGCCATTTAATGGGAAGGTCAGATTCCCCCCAAGGCCTGTAGTGCAATGTCACCTTCCAAACCACAGGTAATCGGTCAAGAGAGAACGTATGGCCAAGCAACGCAAGAAGAGAAGCACACCTACCTTGCTCTCCTGCGTCACAGCATACTCCACTACCTCGGTTCCATTTTCATTGTGATAAACCAAATCAAATTTCCCAGGTTCTCTCAAGGCTGAAACCAGAAGATAAGGAGGAAAGTGAGTAAGTCATTTCTCAATAGTTAAAAATGTTCCTCTATGGGGAATTTATATTATTAAGAAAACAGCCACAAACAAACTGTCAATGTGAAGGCTGGGTAGGTACAGGAAAGCATGGGGTGCTCGATACAGGGCGATCCTGAGAAAAACCCTGGACCGGGGGACTTCTCAGCCATTTATCAAAAAAAAATCTTTCCTTCATAAGCTTGATGAACTGTCATTAGTACTACCAGAATTGAATATGGCACCACAAGATAATCCCCAAAATTAATTTATGTGTTTCAATAAGGGAAGGTAACATGAAATGCTCCATCATTAGAAATCACATATGCTTCCTACTACTTAGTAACACAGGCAGTCCTTTTTTTTTTTTTTTTTTTTTTCCAGACACAGTCTTGCTTTATCACCCAGGCTGTAGTGTGCGGTGGCACAATCTTGGCTCACTGCAACCTCTACCTCCTGGGTTCAAGTGATTCTCGTGCCTCAGCCTCCTGAGTAGCTGGGATTACAGATGTGCACCACTATGCCCAGCTAATTTTTGTATTTTAGTAGAAACAGGGTTTCACCATGTTGGCCAGGTTGGTATCAAATTCCTGGCCTCAAGTGATCTGCCCACCTCGGCCTCCCAAAGCGCTGGGATTACAGGCATGAGCTGCCACGCTCAGCCTCAGTCCTTGCTTTCTATGGTAGAATGGGATTGGAAAAATGACTGTGCAAGCTGAAATCACACAAAACAATCTTAATAAATAGGAAAAAATTATTGTCTTACAAGTTTTAAAAAAATTTGCCAAAACATTAAAAACTTTTACTATATAGGGAAATTAAAAAAACAGTAAAGTATATATAGTATATTTATGTAGTACACTGCAATTACTTAGGAACTCTGAGAATTAATGTGTTTTCTTTCTTTCCTTTTTTTAACGCATTTTATTTCTTTGTAAGAAACTTATCTAGGGTAGTTTGAACAGCACTTGTGTTCTTGCCCTGTAACTTATAAAACAGAGCAAGCATCTTCTCTGTGCTCTGTACAACTGTCATACTCTTTTCTAAGTTTGATACTGCTTTTTTTTTTTTGAGACGGAGTTTCGCTCTTGTTACCCAGGCTGGAGTGCAATGGCGCGATCTCGGCTCACCGCAACCTCCGCCTCCTGGGTTCAGGCAATTCTCCTGCCTCAGCCTCCTGAGTAGCTGGGATTACAGGCACGCGCCACCATGCCCAGCTAATGTTTTGTATTTTTGGTGGAGATGGGATTTCACCATGTTGACCAGGATGGTCTTGATCTCTTGATCTCATGATCCACCCGCCTCGGCCTCCCAAAGTGCTGGGATTACAGGCGTGAGCCACGGCGCCTGGCCTTTGATACTGCTTTCAACATTTTATCCTTGGCGCTTCTAATGTCATGAAATCGCTCAAAGAATTTGTTTTTTTCACTTTGGGAAATCTTTGTGAAGTTTTTTGCTGGTGTCACTTTGGGGACATTTTCATCCTTTTTGCCGCAACTACTTTCCTCATTTTGTCAGTAAGTTCACCTCGCCGGCAGTGTCAACATTCCCACAGTGAGCTATTTCTTCTATAGACTCTCCTTACATTCCATTCGGATGGCACTTTCAGCATCAACACTTTTGTTTTTTGCTGTGCCTTTATCTCTGTGGGCCAATTCCCTACTTCAGTTACCTGTTTTGTAAAATGTCATGTAGGTCTATCAGTGAGAGACAAGGAGGCGCCACAATCCCATGCTCTGCGCCGTATGTGAACTGAGTAACAGATGCACAGTGGCTAGTCACTGACAGACTCTGAAAGCAGTGACTTAGACTGGAAACGGATCATGATGCGTATCTGTTATTTACGTTATGTAATGATATGTGGACTAAAGAGCTAGCAGTACTTTATGCACTTATAGTTAACATACGAAATGTTGCTGGGGGACTGGTATTACTTAACTAAACCATGGCAACTGAAATTTATGTACATCAGAACCACCAAATCAAGGATAAGTGACATTGCTATTGGAGAACGGATAAATCCATTTCTTTCTTTCTTTTTTAATTCTGAGACAGGGTCTTGCTCAGTCACTCAGGCTGGAGTGCAGTGATGCAATCACGACTCACTGCAGCCTCAGTCTCCTGGGCTCAAGTGATCCTCCCACCTCAGCTTCTCAAGTAGCGAGGACTATAAACATACACCACCATACCCAGCTAATTTGACTTTTTTTAAGAGACAGGGTCTCAACTATGCTGCCCAGGCTGATCTTAAACTTCTGGGTTCAAGTGATCCTCCCACCTTGGCCTCCAAAGCCATTTCTTGATGCCCTAGAGAAGAAAAGTTCTAAGTGGATATGATCACTGTTAATCACCTGACAAACACTGATTAGGCTGTGTGCACAGAATTTGACAGTGGACAAACTTCTGTCCACCACTCCTAATAAAGGGGACTTCTATAAATGAAACCTCTTCAGAAGAAAGGTAGGAAACCAGTGTAAGTTATATTTAAACAATTTATTTAATATTGTAAAGGAACTTTATTGAAAAACTTTTTTGCCGGGCGCGGTGGCTCAAGCCTGTAATCCCAGCACTTTGGGAGGCCGAGGCGGGTGGATCACGAGGTCAAGAGATTGAGACCATCCTGGTCAACGTGGTGAAACCCCGTCTCTACTAAAAATACAAAAAAATTAGCTGGGCATGGTGGCGCGTGTCTGTAGTCCCAGCTACTCAGGAGGCTGAGGCAGGAGAATTGCCTGAACCCAGGAGGCGGAGGTTGCGGTGAGCCGAGATCGCGCCATTGCACTCCAGCCTGGGTAACAAGAGCGAAACTCCGTCTCAAAAAAAAAAAAAAAGAAAAACTTTTTTGACTGATTTCTGTCAGCTCAATCTTTTATTCAATCCCTTATTTAAAAATAAGCAGAAAACAAGCTGGGCACAGTGGCTCACGCCTGTAGTCCCAGCACTTTGGGAGGTCAAGGCAGGTGGACTGCTTGAGGCCAGGAATTCAGGACCAGCCTGGCCAACAAGGCAAAACCCGCCTTTGCTAAAAATACAAAAATTAGCTGAGCATGGTGGTGCGCGCCTGTAGTCCAAACTACTCAGCAGGCTGAGGTGTGAGAATCGCTTGAACCTAGGAGGCGGAGGTTGCAGTGAGCTGAGACTGCACCACTACACTCCAGCCTGAGCAATAGAGTAAGACTCTGTCAAAACAAAAAAACAAACAAACAGAAAACAATTGCTTTAGGATCTGCTAAAGAAAGGGATCTCCCCTGCCCTCTGGCCAGGAACTGCTACAATATACCCCAAGTTAAGCTACATATTGCAAAAGCCCTCTTATTCCAGGCATAAAACCAGTAATAGGTGTGGTTAATCAGAGATAAAGCCAGTAACCATTTAATTTTTTTTTTTTTTTTTTAGACGGGGTTTCACCATGTTTGTCAGGCTGGTCTTGAACTCCCGACCTCAGGTGATCCACCCACCTTGGCCTCCAAACTGCTTGTATTACAGGCGTGAGACACTACGACCGGCCAAAGCCAGTAACCATTTAAAATGATATGTGAAAGTGTGCATACATACACTTTAGATTTTTCATTTTGACTTAATATACAAAAGTATATTCATTTGCCAATCTTTTGAAATAGAGCTGAGTAGGTTTTATGAGTTAACTAAATAGAGCTCTTTCTTTCTTTTATAAACCATACCAGTGTGTTGTCTGCAATTTCTACAATTTACAGTTTTAGGGGTTTTTTCTGAGACCAAGTCTCGCTTTGTCACCCAGGCTGGAGGGCAGTGGTGCGATCTGGGCTCACTTACAACCTCTGCCTCCTGGGTTCAAGCGATTCTCCTGCCTCAACCTCCCCAGTAGGTGGGATTACAGGTGTGTACCATGAGGCCCAGCTAATTTTTGTATTTTTACTAGAGACAGGGTTTCACCATGTTGGCCAGACTGGTCTGGAACTCCTGACCTCAAGTGATCTACCCACCTTGGCCTCCCAAAGTGCAGGTCTTACAGGCATGTGCCATAGCACCTGGCCTGGGTTTTTTTTTTTTTTTTTTTTTTTTAAGTAATGCAAGACTGTAAAAATTTGCAAGGCAATCTAAGTGCAGAATCTTCCCCGATTTTTACAAAATTCCTCCCAATCTTTTATAGCTGACCCACTCATCCATAATTTCATAGCATTTTCTGAGTCAGCATTCAACTCAGGCTTCCTAGAAATAATCCTTTTTTTCAATCAATTTTTATCAGTTCATATAATCTTTTGTGAAATTATATAATTACAGTAATAAGAACTAGCCCAAAAGCTTTGGAATATATCCAACATCTCTTATTGGACCCCAGGGCTACAAAGTGCTGAAAGAGGAAGTGGGGACTGCCAGTTATATGGAGGCCAAGGAAGAGAACATCTCTTGTATATAAAAGCTATTTAGAAACTACTGTATAGATAGAAAGAGCCTACATTTTCAAATTCTTTTCTAAAAGACTCACCAGGTAAGGATGAAAGAATTTCTATATCTACTTGCTGGGTCTCTGGATTGTGGCTTAATATTTTTCCTTCCTTTCAAAAATAAAAGTCCAAGTCAAAAATCAACATGTAAAACATTGTGAATATACTAAAAACCACTGAACTGTAGACTTTAAAATGGTTAAAATGTTGAATTTTATGTTATGTGAATTTTATCTCAATTTTAAAGTTTAAAAGTAAATCCGCATATAGAGAAAATAAAATAAAAACAGGTGGACTGATAAACACTCTACGTGAATATACAGAAATGTCCTTAGAGGCAAAATAGATATTAAATCATAAATGGCAGACACTAACTTAAATAACTCGATGAAAGTAAGATTACACCAAGGAACCAAAAGTGACTGAATAAGGGAAAAGGAGGAAAAATCACACCAGGATGATACAGTCAAGTGACTATCACAGTCAACTGACCATCACAGCATTCATCAGGAGAGACTAGATAAATCCTAATGGTGCTGCCTCGGTTCCTGATGTTTTTAGTACCATTCTTCTCTCTTTTTTTTTTTAAAAGACAGGGTTTCACCATGTTTGTCAGGCTGGTCTTGAACTCCCAACCTCAAATGATCCGCCCACCTTAGCCTCCAAAGTACTTGGATTACAGGCGTGAGCCACCACGCCCGGCCTTTAGTACCCTTCTAAAACAGTGATCACAACCCCCAGGAGAAACTAGAAAGCACTTCATCACTGGTAAGATCCCAACTCCCTTTCTTCAGGTGTGGGAGCTGATTTTCTAATGCATCAAGAGGAGGTACTGCCCATGAATGTGGGCAATGGGGAGACATATGGTAACCTCTAGGGGTACAGACCAAGGTCAACAAACTAGTTCCTCCTGCTTCTACCTAGAATTTTGGAGCACGGTCAACAGTGTTTTTTTAAAACCAGACTCAAAAGGGAGTCAGGGGCTTGGGAGACTACAATTTTGAGGACAGAATTTAACTAATTTAACTTTTAGAGACAAGCTTAATGAATAAAGCAGATGATCAAGCTGGATAACTGTGTTTAAGGTCAAAGCAAAAAAGTAGGACCAATTTTTAATCTTAAAATAATTTTGACAGCAATTTCAAAAATCTTTAACAAATTGTGGGAACTAAAGTTGGCAAATCGCCTTTCAATGTTAATAACTATGATGACTAATACCAATTTAATATGCAATATATATTTTTTAAGAGTCTTGTTCTTTTACCCAGGTTGGAGTGCAGTGGTGTGATCTCAGCTCACTGCAACCTCCACCTACTGGGTTCAAGCAATTCTTGTGCCTTAATCTCCCGAGTAGCTAGGGCTACAGGTGCACGCCACCACACCAGGCTAATTTTTATATTTTTAGTAGAGATGGGATTTTGTCATGTTAGCTAGGCTGGTCTTGAACTCCTGACCTCAAGTGATCTGCCCATCCTGGCCTTCCAAAGTGCTGGGATTACAGATGTGTGCCACTGCATCTAGCCGTTAATATGCAATTTTTAAAAATCAGTATGATCTAGATAATTTATAGAGGTAGTCGGATGTATCAATACAATATTCATTTCCATTTTCTCATATATCACACAATTAAATTAGTTATCTGTGGTAGGGTGACAAGACAGGTCTATATATATCTTTCCGGCATAATTATTAATAGCACTCCCTTTCACTCACAAGTATCCTGACTTAGGTGATAAATTATATGATCACCTCATCCACAGGAGATAGTGAGTGCCTAAGAAGATGAAAACCAGAACACCAAAGACCTAGAACTAACCCACCAGATCCCTTCATTAACTGATTCTTCTAGCGTGCTTTTGAGGAAAGGTTTTACAAAGATGTTAAAAGTCTTCCAAGGCATCAGTCCAGATTAAATCAAATTCCCTTGTGTTTTATTTTTGCTACTATATTAACACTACCAATTATTACCTTAAAAACGTCTTACATTCCGTATAGTACATCAAAAAAAGAAAGTATGCACTTTAAGAAGATTTTCAACAAAATTTTTGTGGGTAAAAAAGAAACATGTAATTCTGTGATCTCACTGACTAAGCTTTTACTGAACTATGAAAAACCTCACATGCCAACATAAAGACTCATACACATATTAAGTAAGTAAATTCCATGGGTAATATTTATGAACTACCTGTGGTTAACTGATAATGCAAAAGAAATCATACTAGATTAGAATACCCAGAATTCACAAATAGGTCAAATAGATTCCCATGATGAAAATAATCAAAGCTTCTTGCTGAGAACTATTATTTTCTTTCAAAGTTTAGAATC